GCACTATCCCACAACGACAATACTCATAAGAAGTTATAATTATTTAATTTCGCATCCCTTTGAATTGTTATATTCACATGATTAAATATGACTGATAATTTTTATACTACAATACGTCACCGCGGTTATAAATTGTCCTTTTTAAGGCATTTTTTTTTATTGTTGTTGCGCAACCATCAGGAAATTTATGGATTTTTAAAAGTTGCTAGCCCCTCCTCTTTCCTCTACTTCATTTTTTTTCTTCGTAACCTTTATTTTTAATTATTTTTTTTATCTTTATTTTTTACTTGTCAAACAGGATTACGAAAATTAACGAATTTAATGTTATAATGAACTTGTAATTTTTACATATTTGTTAATACGGAGTATCCTTTGAACCAGAACTTTCCAACAGGAATTAAATTAGGAAAACTTGGATGATTTTTATAGACCTCCATATTCGTCAGCGGCATCTACGATACCAATACCACCTCAGCCGTCAAATGCACCATTAAATCCATTACCGGCAAATTAACGCAATATTACAAATAATGTGGAATTAGTTAGATCGATATTAAATCAACCAAAATAACCTAAGGGGAAAACCAATGTGAAACTGTCCTGACGTTACAAATTATTTGGTTGGATTGCCAAATGTTAATATTGACCTACGGTGAATCGGTATTAAGCTGCTTCGTTGGGAAATGTTGAAGTTGTTAAAATCTTGATGAATGCTAATGCTAACGTTGAAAGTTATAATAGGGAAAATTTAATCTCTCTTATCATCGCGGTTTATAATGGTCATGCTGATGTTTGTCGAGAACTACCCGATCACGGTTAAGCAAATGTGAATTTTCAAGATAGTTCTTATAAAACCGCTTTATTATTGGCTTTCTATGAAGGCTACGTTGAAACCGCTAAAGTGTTACTAGCTCGAGGTGCAAGTGTGTACATTTCAGCCAAGGTGCAATCTCAATTTCTTTGCCTTTATTTATGATCTTATTTAATTTCTCTTTATCTTTAAAAAAAAATTAAATGTATGGATGGACCGCGTTAATAATCGCTGCTTTTTCTAACCGTGTAGAAATGTGTCGGTTGCTGTTGGAGCATTATGCAGACAAATCCGTTACGACGCTAGACATTTTGACTTGGCAAATATGATCGAGAATTACGTTCCAAGACAACACCACATTTAAAATGACATGGCACCGAGAGAGAGTAAAACTCCTTTTGTATTATTTTCATTGGCAGTCACGGCATGTTTTTGTAATCCTTGCCTTTCACCATTGGTAAGATGAAAGATCTCAATGTGCGTTAAGCTGGCGTGAAAAAGTGGTTTTGGTTGTTATTATATTATTAATTTCATCATTCTTGGATTTTTGGCATTCGGTTTAGCAACCATCGCTTGTGGAAAAAGGAAACAATATTTTTAAAGAAGATGTATTTGAAAAATTTGGAACTGGGTCAAAAGTGCATATTATTCATGGAAACTCTATAATACTGGACAATATCTTTTTGGTAGGCATCGTCCGTTAACTCCTCCTATCGAAGATAAGATTAGAACCGAATTGCAGGGACCATTCAAACTATGAAGATTCTTCGATACAGCAATCAATTCTTTTATTAATCATGAAGGATGATTCAATCCCATTCATACCAATGAAGAATCAAGTCTTTATGGAAAACAGAAATCGATGAGGCACACCTTTGGAATCCTTGTTGTAACCCATTGAAATACCATCATACCATCACAAACTTAAAGAAGATGAGGTCGCAGAAATCATAGTTATGTTTCGATGGATCCCATGATTTTAGTTTAGAATATTATCAAATTAATGTTAGATATAGTCAAAATTTATGATAACAAAGAAACAATTAATTTCGAATACTTTATTGGGAGTTAGTAATCCAAACTGTTCGTTGGATATCTGCCGAGTATTGATCAAAAGATAATATAAATTCTATTAGGGATTTAACTTGAGACGTAATTTCTGTCATAAAATTTTTGTGATTAATAATATTTTCTTGAGAAAATATTTTATTTTTTTTTTTTAAATAAATTAATTAAATTTCGATGATTGTCAGCGTTCAAATTGTGATTAAAAAAAAATCGTTGCGCCAAAGATAAAATCACAGAGAATCAGATTAATAAAACAGAAAATCCAATTTAAAATCAATTAAACTTTTTTGGATCGTTTTTTACATTGTATATAAAACGAAGCGTATAGATTTCCGTATAATATGAAATAATATGACTCAAAAATGACCAATATAAAATAGTGTATAAATTGGCATTATCTTTGCTACTATCTCTTCATCACACTTCTCCCCAAACAATTACACTCGTAATAATAATTATTATAATTATAGTTCCCTATCTTTCTAGCTAGATATTATGATTGTTGTATAAGATGCGATTCATATCGTGACTTAAGGCCTCACATATACATGGGTATTTGCATAATTATAATGCGCGACTATAGCGCTTGACCAACATTTTGTTCACGAGACGGTATATGCATTTCGAAATGAATTAAATAATACCATAATTTTCAATCAAGAATTTTAACTGGCTTAGAATCACTGACGTCATCGGATTCGAATACTTGTTTGAACTTCTTATAATTCTTTGATACCCATTATTAAAAAACTAAATTAAAAAATTAAATTAAAAAATATAAAAATCATTAAAATAAATTTCAAATATAAGAAATAATTATTAAAAAATTAATAAATAAAACATGATAAAAATTAAATATTAGTAATATAATTAAAATAAAAAATAAAAAAAAAATGAGTATATTAAATAAGATTAAAAAAAAATTTAAATTTAAATTTAAATAATATATTTTAATTAATATCCACGATTTTTTTTTATATTTATTTTTTTAATTTGCTATTTAAAAAATCTATTAATAAAATTGCAGGTATTGAAAAAAATAAAATAAAAAATGTAATGTATAACCGAAAAATAAATCTAAAAATCAAAAAATCAATTATTAAAATTAAAAAAAAATTAACTGAACAATTAAATTAGAAAAATTAAACTTCTTTTTCATCAATATATTTTTATTTATCATAAATGAAATTTAAAGTTAATTGAATTGGTTACGCAATCAATTATTTAATGCTAAACGGGGGACGAAGTCCCCCGCAAACCGCAAACTCTAGTTTTTAAATTTCAGCTTTTAATACCAAATCTGCGACTTCGGCTTAAAGCCGTCCCTGGATATGTACAACCAAAGAACAAATTAAGAATAAATTGATTTTTCATCTTGCAGATATGCGTTTTGAGATATAATGATAAATTGACCAAATTGTTTTTACAATATCCTCAAACATCGCTCAACTATCATCATTTTTTATCAAAATAGGTGTAATCTTGGTGGATTCGGCAACGCATTTATTTATATTATAAGACATCATACTTTAGATCTATATCAACAGGAATTAGTATGGATTTTTTTTAGCGTTTAGGTCGTTCCTCAAATAAAGATTATTCATTATTACTAAATATTACAGAGAAAGAAATTTATTATATATTTAAATGACTTTATCAATAACTTCATAAAAATCAAATCTGCTTATACAGTAACCATATGATAGAAAAGGAATAAAAATCATTATATAAATGCATATCATAAAATAAAATAAAATAACATAAATCAAAATAAATAATAATCTAATATTTCCTTGAACCAGCAGAATTAATTGAACCC